GCACCAGATTGTATATAAGATTTGTATCTGTCAGTGTGTGGTCGACCAGCTGGATTGGAGTGGAGTCTCCATCTGGTGGTGGCCAAAGGTAGTGCGGGCTGTGAAAGTGTGTCACGGCTGATCTTATATACGGTTTTATATATATTCAAAGTTAAGTCCCCCTTATTCCCTCATACGTCCCTGTCACGGCCGCACGTCATCATGGTTAGCTAGTCTCTGTGGGAGTGGCGTGTGGGGGGATCCATGATACTTTATGTTCTGACATTTTAGTTATTGCCTTTGGGGATATATATAATCTTTTAACATATTGAATATTTGGTAACTAACGCTACATCTTGTTATACATTATTTATTGTTTGTTACCAACATTCTTGTTAGCTGCTTTTTACCAATTGCGTTGATCCTAGTGCAGGTTGTTACTGTGTATAGTAAATTCTACTATTGCAGTCAGATGGGGCTGTGCACATGCCACAGCCAAAATGCTTTGCGATCTGCAATAATTTTAACTCAACTTGCATAATTTGACCAGCAGTACTGCTTGTCAAATGCACCCATTGAGGTCAATGGGAGCTTGCCACAGCTGCAAGCCAAATGTTTGGTTTGCAGTTGTGGTGTGGTATTTTAATGTAAAATCCTCCTTGAAATCATTTTTTTTTTTTTAAACAGACCTTCTTGTGCCCCTATTACAATATTGACGCTTCTATGGCTTCCCCCTGCCCTGCACCCTGCGGCACTGAGTCCGATTTTGCTCCATGGCTTACAAGTGTGGGACTCGGGTCGTTACTCCAGTGGCCTGATGTCACCTTTCTTGCCTTTGCTCCCAATCACTAACAACCCTCTCTTCGCACCAACCAATGGCGTTTTCTTGGTGGGTGGCCAATGGTTTTTTGAAGGTACGACACTTTTTGACTTCTCGGTCCTTCCCTACCTGGAATTTTCTTCAGGAGTCACGGAATGTCCCTCCGGCAAAATTTTTTCATTACCTTCAATTGCGGCATTGGCTGATCTCATTGCGGGGCACTTCTGCTTTCCTGTACCAGAAATCTGCATTTGAACTGCTTTGCCAACAGCATCCGGGCGCCCCAGGCCTTATTTCCCTTCTTTATGCAGCTTTAAACAGGCGCACGATGCATACTTCTCTTTCAAATGTTGTTCAGTGGGAGCGTGACCTGGGGGCATTCGTGGATCTGAAGGACTGGAATAGGGCCTGGTCGCTTATAGCTAAATGTTCATTTAATACGACCATGCTGGAGGCGACATACAAAGTATTGTTTCGTTGGTATGGGGTTCCGGCTCGTTTGGCCCAGGCAAATCCTGCCTGCAGTGATCGATGCTTTCAGGGTTGTGGCCTTCGTGGTGATGTATTGCATCGTGTGTTTGGCCTCCTTTTCACCTTGTTCCATCTCTCTATACAACGGAATGCTTGGTATGCTTTGCTTCATTGTCCCATACCGAGCCTTTTGGCTCATCAGAAGAAGTTGGCTTCCTATTTGTTTTTGTCGGCCACTAGAACAATTGCTCAGGCCTGGAAGAGCCCGTTTGTCCCTCTTCAGGGGGGTGTGGGACCGTATGACCACTATGATGCTCAATGAACAGATGTCCAGTATCTGCAACGACTCCCAACGTAAATTCTTTAAAAGATGGGAGCCGTGGTTGCAATATGCCTTTCCCGCGCTCCCCCTGGCTAGTCTGGAGATGTGATGTTGTTCGGTATTGGCGTTCTTTGATCCCTGCTCTTGGTTTTGTTATCTTTTTGCTTTTGTACTTCTCCTTCCTTTTCCTTTTGTTTTTGTTTGTTTTTGGTGTGGCAGTGGATAGCTGCCTTTAGTTTGAGTTACTATCAGTGTTATACTAATGTTTTGTTATTTAAGTGCCATTGATAGCCCCTGCGTGGGCATACCTTTTGCTCTGTTGGTGTTAGAGCACTGATTTTTCTAATTTTCTAATTGTTTTATGTGCAATTCATAGCCCCTGCGTGGGCGTGATTTGTTGCTCCTGTGTTAAACGGTTATACAGTTGTGGCCAAAATTATTCAACCCCCAATGCTGTAAAGGGGTTTAGGGACTATAGTGTACATTTGGAATTGTATTCAGAATCAAATCCTACAAGGACGTTGTAACTACCCAAATGCAACTAAAATGACATCAATTGTTTATGTAATACAGTAGTAAATGGTTCTTATGTGGTTTCTTCATTGCCACAATTATTCAACCCCTTAAAGACTACCACTCTGAAGAACAGAGGTTCATACAGGTGCTTTCCATCAGGTATTGAAAACACCTGTGGATGTCACCGAGCAGCAATCAAGCATAATAAGCACCAATTAGGCAGCTTTAAAATGACTGTGATACTCAGCTCCTTCTAGACATTTACTGGTGTGGTTACAAACATGGTGAAGGCAAGAGAATGGTCCAGGAAGACAAGAGAAGAGGTGATTTCTCTTCACAGGAAGGGCAATGGCTATAAGAAGATTGCAAAGATGTTAAACATACCAAGAGACACCTTAGGAAGCATCATTCGCAAATTCAAGGCAAAGGGCACTGTTGAAACGCTACCTGGTCGTGGCAGAAAGAAGATGCTGACTTCGACTGCTGTGCGCTACCTGAAGCGTAGAGTGGAGAGAAGTCCCCGTGTGACTGCTGAGGAACTGAGAAAAAGATTTGTCAGATGTGGGTACAGAAGTTTCAGCCCAGACAATAAGACGCACACTGCGTAATGAAGGCCTCCGTGCCAGAACTCCCAGGCGTACCCCCTTGCTGTCTCCAAAGAATAAGAAGAGTCGACTGCAGTATGCCAAAAGCCATGTGGACAAACCACAAAAGTTGTGGGATAGTGTTCTGTGGACTGATGAAACAAAATTAGAACTGTTTGGGCCCATGGATCAACGCTATGTTTGGAGGAGGAAGAACAAGGCCTATGATGAAAAGAACACCTTGCCTACTGTGAAGCATGGTGGAGGGTCAATCATGCTTTGGGGCTGTTTTGCTTCTGCAGGTACAGGGAAGGTTCAGCGTGTGCAAGGTACCATGAATTCTCTTCAGTACCAGGAGATATTGGATGGAAACGTGATGCAGTCCGTCACACACCTGAGGCTTGGGAGACGTTGGACCTTTCAACAGGACAATGATCCCAAGCATACCTCCAAGTCCACTAGAGCATGGTTGCAGAGGAAAGGCTGGAACATTTTGGAGTGGCCATCGCAGTCACCAGACTTAAATCCGATTGAGAACCTCTGGTGGGACTTAAAGAAAGCAGTTGCAGTGCGCAAGCCTAAGAATGTGACTGAACTGGAGGCCTTTGCCCATGAAGAATGGGCGAAGATACCCGTAGATCGCTGCAAGACACTTGTGTCAAGCTATGCTTCACGTTTAAAAGCTGTTATAACTGTAAAAGGATGCTGTACTAAGTACTAAGATTGAATGTCACTTGGGGGTTGAATAAAACTGATAATGCTGTGAGCACAGAAAAGACATTTGTGGTTATTTCATTATAACTGTTATGTTATATTTGTCTGACCTACAAGTGCCTCTTTAATGTAAATGTAAGCAAGATGACTGAATGATCAAAAGCAATGTCAAACTGGCCAAAACACTCAATTTCAGTGGGGGTTGAATAATTTTGGCCACAACTGTAAATTAATAAAAACCATTGAAATACAAAAACAGACCTTCAAGAAGCACCACAATTGCCTCCTTAAACCCGAACTTGAACATTTATTGTATTGCAGCTTATCAGTTCTCTGATGTGGTGGCTGCATTAGGTTTTTTAGGTTTTATTTTTTTCTTTCCTTTGGTTTCACCTGGTAATCTAGCCAGTAAGTCTGTTGTTTTTCAACAGAACAAGCTCTCCTTCAAATGTATCAGTTAAGAGTGTTCAGGCAAACCATTTATCAATGACAGGGGTACTTACAATGATCAGTTTTTATTTATTCATGTAAAACTTTTATGAAAAAAGGGGAAAAAATGTTGGTTTACCTGTTTGTGTAACTGCAGTGCGAGCTTGAGTTTGGCTTAAATTTGTTACTGTATCTAAATCTGCTACTACGAACACTACCCTCCCCCTAGACTGACAATGCTGCTCTCCAAAGGTGACCCTATGCTCCTTCATCTAAAATTGGGGCACTATACTACAAGAGGTATGTGACTGGACATATCACCAGGTGAACACAGCGGGAAGAAAGCCTAAAAACAGAAAACTAATGCAGCCACCACATATAAGGATTGGTAAGGTACAATATATAACATTTTTTATTTTGGGCTTAATATCTTGATTGTTTGGCAGCCACTGCTCTACCACCCTCTGAAAAGCAATCCACCCCAGATTCCATTTCAGAGGGCGGTAGACTCTTCTGCCTGTGTAAAACAGCCCTTATAGTGAGATAGGGACTAAAGCAATCCAAAAGCCCTCACACTAATCAATTTATATTACAGTAAAGCCTTCTTAAAACTGTGATTTCCCCTCACTTTTTTACTTCTGTGAAAATGGTCTCCAGGACAAGATAAAGGGTCCTAGTGGAGACACAGACAGCAATCTAAACCTACGGTAACTATATCATCCAAAAACAAAAAATAAAAATGTTGCCTTTACATACCATTTAATCATTTGTGGATATGTTATGGAACAAATGGTACACATTTGCACTATTGTATAGTTTTGTATCTCAATTTCACCTGGAAGCAGGGGCAGACTGACCATTTGGAAACTCGGGCACTGCCCGAGGGCCCGGGGTCAGTAGGGGGCCCCATGAGATGCCCCTGGTACCTTTTTTATAGGCTTTTTGGAGTTTGGGCAAGGACACAGGGGCCCCATGAGTTGTCAGTCTGCCCCTGCCTGCAAGTAATATTAAAAATATATTTTTATAGTAGAATAAAGGGGCTGGAGTTGGGAGGAACATATTACATGGAGAGGCCAGAAGCCTACATTTGTTAGTTTACAGTCAGTGAGAATACATTGCTAGTAAACATAATTGTAAATTGCTGTGGTTTGGTCTAGGGGCCTATGTGTTATGAGAATATAAGATTGCTTTACCTGTGTTTTTTACTACATCGATTAGTGATTTGGTATAAGATGGTCCCAGTGTTATAAAATGGATGGTAGCTCCACTTTTATATATATCATTGAAACATAGGGAGGTGTCATAATTATCTTCCCCATCTGATAACAGGACTATTTCAGTTCCATGTGAAGATCCATCCAACTGTTCATTAACCTAAATTTGGAATGAGTAAATAAAAAGTTGTTACAATACAGTAGTGATGAAAAATGTTAACGTGTAATCTGTACAAGCAACATGAGTTGTAGGTAATAGGGTCCCACCACCCTAAAACTGAATAGGTTTCCAGGTCTCTGGTGATTGAGACCTCCAGCCTGCCTCCCATCAAACAAACACAACCCCAATTTCCAACTGTCTTCCTTTACTTTCCTAACAAAAATGAAAAACACCAAAGGAAGGATGAAACTCTTTACTAATGACTATGGCAGGTGAGTAGACCTAGGTGCTGAGAATTAGCCACATTGCCCAAGTATCGTAGGTGAAAAGCCTAAGGCTTGGTTCACATACAAGCATTTTGCGTTTGACGCTTCCTCCAGTGCTTTTTGCAGTTCGCTTTGCGTTTTTCTACACGCGTTTTTCTACACACGTTTTGAATGCGTTTTTACTGCTTTTTGCATTTTGTTCAGCTCTTTTAGAAGTTGAATTTTATTTGTAGCTGGGTAGAATAAAAATACAAAACGTGGCAAAAATGCACTACCATGCATTTCAGCAGCTTTTCCATTGAACTCTATAAAAATGTTGCTTTTAAAAAAGTCCCTAACCTTTTCCAAAAACATAGCAGCTCAAAAAAGCATAGATGTGAACATGTTCCATAGGAAATGATGATAAATGGACTGTAGTGAGTTTCTGCAAAAAGCACTAAAAAACACATTGGTGTGAACGGAGCCTTACTCATTCATAAGCACAGAAATGGTGGTCAAAGCAGTCTTCACTACAACTGGAGCCGTTTTCCAGGGGAGTGGTGCTCTGTACTGCACTTGTATCAGCCAAAGCACATCAAACCAACAGCTCCCGGTCATATCCTTTACAGAAGAAGCTGCTAATTGTTGGTGCAATGATGCTCCATAATGTGTTCCTTATCCCAAATCATAGGGACACATTTATCAAATCTGTCACATGGAAAGGAGCAGTGAAAAAGATAATGTGACAGCTTTACTACATAGTTAAACCTTGAGTCATAAATATCTGCTCCAAAGTAGCATGGCAACAGAATGAAACCTGACCCTGACCAGTTCTTGGTGGTTGTAAAGGATTTTTTTTTCTTTTTTAAAAATAACAAATATGTCTATACCTCTCTGCTCTGTGCAATAGAATTGCACAGAGCAGCCCTGATCCTCTTCTTCTTAGGTACCCTGCTGGTGCTCCTAGCTCCTCCCCCTCTTGCTGGTGCTTCCAATAGGAAGCTGATTCCTATGGGGGTAGTCATGCGGGCTCGTTCCTGAGTCCTGTTGCTGCACCCATAGACACAGAAAGCTGGAGTCGGCCCCGCCCCCTGCTCCCTCATCATTGGAGTTGATTGACAGGAGCGGAAGCCAATGACTCCTGATGCTATCGATCTGCCCACTGAGGAGGAACAAAGCCAGGAGAGCCACAGCTCTCATACACAGCACTGGATCATGATGGGTCTCAGGTAAGTATAAGGGGGGGGCGGGTTCTTTTACACAGAAGGTTTTTTACCTTAATGCATTAAGGCAAAAAGCTTTGAGGCTATAGAACCACTTTAATTATGCTAAGATCTGAGTGAAAATTTCGCCTACAGTGATAAATCTTTGCAGACCTGTGCAAATCCGTCACAGTTGGCTGCCTAGGGTTCCAGGAGCAGGGGTGGCAGAAAAACTGTAGCAGAGACTTTGCAATATCAGGGGTGCAATGCTTTGCATGTCATTGTCACTCACTTGCATGATAAGTGTACCCCATCGCAAATGTATTGTAACAATCATCATCAGATTCCCCTCTTATGCAGTATGTCCACCCAGGTGCTCTCTCAGAGCTTCACCCAAAAGGGGAAGTTCCACTTTAAGTCATCTTCCCCCCTCCTCTACCTAATTTGGCACGTACATTTTTTTTTTTTGGGGTGGGGGCAGGTACCCGCTCCCACTTCTGCTGAGATCACCTAGGTGGTCCTACTGGAAGTTCTCCTCTCCCCCTCCCTCCTTGCAGTCTTGTGGGACACGTCACATGTCCTAGAAGACTGCAGAACCATTCACAACGCGCAGCACGGCTATCGCATGCGCAGTGGGCAGCCGGCTGTCACAGCCGGGTACCCACACTTAAAGTGGTTGTAAACCCTCACATATACCCAGTGAAGTGACTGTCCTCAGGTGATTCACAGAGATGCATCCATTCAATTCCAGAATTTATAAAGCTGTCTAAGCTGTTAGAAAAAAAGGGGGTAGAGAGCTGAAGTTACACTCCACAGAGCTCAGTGAGGAGAGCTCTGAGAGCTGATTGGAGGGAAGGGACACACACCCCCTTCCACACAGCTCACAGAAACAGAACTGAGGCTGTCAATCAGCTGGAGGTCCCTCCCCTGTAACCATTTTTCTCTTAGTGTCAGGAAAACTTGTAAGACGTGATTCATGCTGATAGCAGAGGAATGAAGCAGCAGACAGAAATGGCACTTAGTGCTCTTAATTGAGACACGTGCACACTATAGAGGGATATGCTATGTTCATATTTCATGTCTGAGGTTTACAACCAATTTAAGATGCCAGTGCCGAATCCATGGACATGTAAGTGGCCTATTATTTAGCATGTATCTGATGTTTAATGGGGATGGGGGAAGCCAAGCTGGAGTGGACGGCAAAATTGCTGGTCGTGTTCAAAACCTGCATTGGGGTCCCTGAAACCATATCTGAAGTATGTTTGGGTGACCTGTCATTTTATAAACCCAAAGAATAACAATACTGTAAAAGAAATGTGTAAATTCTGTATAAAATTGTATTCTATTTTGTATGCTTTGCCTATGTATTGCACTGCACTCATTGTGCACGCGGCATTAATAATGTTTTCATTACATGTTTGCATTCTTTCAAATCCTGATTAGAAATTAGCCTGCCTATGTAATGCCCCTTGTCAACATAAAAGTACAATTGTAATAGTAATGTGATACCTAGGTAATCGTGTATAAAATTCAATTGCGCCGAATAAACAGAAGAGTGATTTGGAAAGATGCTGAGTATATCATTTTGTGTCTGTTCCCTACTTCAGTAGTTATTATTACAGTGATTTGGAACCACAAATCACTATGAGGGTAGGAGTTGCTCATCAATACATTTCTTGAACACATACATTGAACTTGAATTGAATATAAATTACCTTAACAGCTTCCCGAATGCCCTATAGCACATATATGTGATTTTGCATTTCCGAGTACACGGCGCATGCGTGCCCTACCCGCTCCGCCATTCGCAGCCGCAGCTGTCAATCACCAGGTCCCGGCTGGTGATTGCTTGCCGGCGCCCGGTGATTCACAAGTATCTCCAGCAGGGAGGAGAGCGGTTTGTAAACAAAACTGTTCTCCTCCCTGTCAGCTGGTGCACACTGCTTTGGAGGGCCATGCACAGCACAGCCATCCAAAGCAGTGTGCTTACAGTGAAGCACACGGACACAGCTCACAGTAAAACAGCACACAGTTAACTCTTTGATCGCCCCTCATGTTAACTTTTTCCTGCCCAATGCCATTAGTACAGTGTCAGTTCTTTTTTTTCGCACTGATCACTGTATTGGTGTCACTGGGGATGTCAGTGATACCAAGTCAGTTCCCCCCAGTGTCAGTATGCCCACCGCAGTCCCACTATAATTCACTGATCACCACCATTACTAGTAAAAATAAAATAAAAGATCCCAGTATATATACAGCCATTTGCAAATGCTATAATTTTCACGTAAACCAATTCATTTACACCTATTAGGATTTTTTTTTTTTTAGCAAAGACATGTAGCAGAATACATTTTGGCTTAAATTTATGACGAAATTTGATTTTTTTTATTTTTTTACTGGACATGTTTAATAGCAAAAAGTCAAAAATATTGTTTTTTTTAATCAAAATTGACAGTCTTTTTTTTTTAGTGCAAAAAATAAAAAACACAGAGGCAATCAAATATCACAAAAAGAAAGATCTATTCGTGGAAAAAAAAGAATGTAAATTTAATCTGGGTGCAGTGTTGCATGACCATGCAATTGTCAGTTAAAATAACGCAGCGCCGTAATGCAAAAAATGGCCTGGTCAGGAAAGGGGGGTAAATCCTCAGGAAGGCAAGTGGTGAGCAAAAAGTGGAAATTGCAACTGCATTCTCCTCTTTTTAATAATAGGTGCCTGGCTGTCATTCTGATCCAGGGACTTTCTAAGCCTCTGACCTGGGATAATTGTGTAAATTGGGAATTCTGAGTTCAATTTGCTGCACCAATGTTCCAGATAATAAATTCTGCAATACTGACAACAGACAGCCAGGCAACAAGCATTTTTCAATGACCAACAATGGCAGCGTACATGTTTCTTTCATGACCTGTGTAATTCAACTACAAAATGTTTCTCCTCCAGAAATCACATATTAATGAGTAATTACTTCTTGAGTACAGCCCACGCAGCTTTTATGTCTGGTGTCTTTTTTTATCATTATCTACACAATAATTCAGAAAATTACCTGAATGCCAGTCAGGACTCCTAAACATATATTTGTTCCTCCATCTGCAGTTGTTGGAAGAAAGGATTTCAGAGTTTTTCGATCCTCATCATTTTTAATTTGTATCAGTGGAGTTGCAATCTCACTAGAAGATGAGAATTTAACAATTCCAACATAAGATCCTGCTTCAATGGTCTGAATAACAAAGATCTCTGCTGCCTGGTATAATCGTTGAATACGGTTCTGAAAAATATTAAATGCTAGTCAAACACTTCAGCAAAGTATAAAGAAGATACTGTATAATCGCTATAAGGTGCTTGAATACTTATACCATATTTTCTGTAGACTTAGACTGGGTTCACACTGATGCGGTGAAGCATTAGCACATGATACACACAGGAACCGCACTGCATTCCTGTGCAAATCGCATGCGAATTCTATACATTTATACATTTTGTATGGCTCAAATCAGACTGCATCCGCACCAAAAAGGTGCAGGACCAGGGGTGGACTGACCATTTGGAAACTCGGGTGCTGCCCGAGGGCCCGGGGTCAGTAGGGGGCCCCATGAGATGCCCCTGGTACCTTTTTCATTGGCTTTTTTGAGTTTGGGCAAGGACACAGGGGCCCAAAGATCCCCTATTGCCCCATGAGTTGTCAGTCCGCCCCTGTGCAGGACCCTTCTTTTGGTCCGCACTAGAATCACACCCATGCAATTCAATTCTGCACATCGCAACGTGTTTTGCAAACCAATTTTGTGGTGTCATTAACTTAACATACACATCCACAGCGGTTTGCATGAACGGGGTGCAATTGTGATGCGGTGGGAAATTCGCACAGAAACCGCTGCGAATTCCGCACCACATCAGTGAGAACACAGGCTTAAGATCACTGCAGTCTTCTGCATTTTCTTTAAACATATGTGTGAAAGCAAACACTTTAATAAATGTAATCACATATTTATGTATTATTTTTTAAAAATTGTCATTCAAAGTGTGAGAGCGCTGAAAGTTGAAAATTGGCTTGGGCAAGAAGGGGGTGAAAGGGCTTGGTACTGATGTGGTTAACTACCGAGGTATCCACTGCTCCTTATGCCTGGGGCCCAGACTGGGCCGCACTCTAGCTGGGGCCCAATAGCAGCCATATGGGATGTTATGAAAGCAGTTCCACCAGTGATGCCTGTAATTTATACATAAAATATTGAATAAAATCCATCAAACAAGCCATGTATAGAACTCAACACTACAATTATTAACAATAACTTACAAAAGTTGTCATACTTCCAGAAACATCAAGCACCAGAGTAATCACCCTGTCTTTATATTGTATCAGTGAGATTGAGGGAACAGGTACATTGAAATTATTCATTGGGTGAGTGGAATTGAAATCAGTGGAGTTCTTAATGATGTCCCAGGTACTGCGCAAATTACACATTCTGTTTTGTAGCGTAGGAGCTTCAATGTTATGATTATCAGTATTGCAAAATTCAAGCACCTGAAAAAAGGGAGAAAAGTATATGAGCAATAAACGTTAACAGGGTTAGAGTTGGAATTCAATTGGTATTGCTGATGTCTTCTCACAAGGGTGATTTCTCCTCATTTACTGTCCAGATGAAGAGTGCCATAAAGAACAGCAAGCAAAGAGAAATCTAAGTGGTGACAATGAAAGCATATAAACATGACAGAAGTTCTGTTCTTTCCCTGTTATATCCAAAGCTTACAAAAATAAATCTGGAGTTCGACTCCTAAAAGTCCACTTACAGCAGTTGGTCCCATTCTGATCAGAGTGATTTATTGGCGTACATTTTGAAAATAACATTTCCAACTAAAGTCAATTGAATAGAGACCTCCAAAATGGAAATACAAGTTCAAGTACACGTGATACAACATGTGTTTGGTGTGCATGAGCATATAAAGAAAACGTGGTAAAATGTATCCTCACGTTCAAAGACCCTAGTCCTTGCATATTGCATGTTCTACGTTCTTCAGGAGTTGCAGCAACAAGATCTGCAGCACAAAGGGCTCCTTTGGTATTAAACCCAAAAATATAATATATTGCAGCTTACTAATCATTAGATATGATGGTTGCACTCATTTTCATTTTTTAGCTTTTCTTTCCTCTGTTTTCACCTGGTGATTTGGGCAGTAACACACCTCCTGTGAGTGCCCCCCACTCTGGATGAAGGAGCACAAGGGGACAGCAGCATTATCAGTCTGGGAGAGTGGTATTAGATGGACTAGCAAATATAAATACACTAACAAATTAAAGAATACAGTAAGTTCAACGTTTGCACAAAAATAATAAATGCACAATTTTTTGCAGGTAAAAAAAATGTGCATTTATTACTTTTGTCTGCAGGAGCCTGAAAAGCATTGCACCAGCGATCAGCAGATCACTGGTGCCATGCAGGTCTCCTGCAGACCTGTCAGTATATCTGCTTGCTCGTACGGGATATACAGGCAAGCAGATATACTCACAAGAAGATTCAATGAACTACCATGGTAGTTCATTGAGAACTTCCACCCTGGCAGTCGCTAAGGCTGTCGGGACTTGTAGTTCATTCATTCCAGAACTCTGTGAATGAATGACGTGGCCATGTGGGCGGAGTCCCACACAGCAATGCTGTTTTCAAATTTATCAGTTAGTAACAGCTAGAGAACTTCTTCCCGTACTTAGTGTCAGAGGGAGGGGGCAGCAGGTGGTGGCTGCAGCACTGGGAACATGTAATTTGTTCCACCCTGAAAACGGGTGGAATATATAACATGTTCCCAAAGGTGTACTTTATAATCAGTTACAGCAAACAAGTTTTTACCTTTTGGGATAAAGGTTTTACATAAATAAAAGCTGATCATTGTAAGCACCCCTGCCAGTGGTAAATGATTTGTTTCATCCCTGTAACCATATATATCTGGGACAACAGACTTACTGGCCGTATCACTAGATGAAAAAACAAGAAAGAAAGCCCAATGCAGAATTGTAATCTGAAATATAATACATGTTTGTTTTGGGGTCAATACTCCTTTAAGACTTTGAACAGCACTTCTTAGACCCACATCATATATTGGACATTTCACTTGTACACACAAAAAAATCTCTTTTAGTTTTAAATAATGATTTTCTCAAGTAGCAGTGCTAAGGTTAGTCCCATTTGTTAGCCACAGAGAACAGAAAGATAACAATAATGCAGTAAATAAAGAAAAGACAAAATATCTATAGGAAATTTGTGGTATTAAGAATGATGTAATAAGCCAATATTATATTTGCAGTTTTGACATCTAATGTTTTTTAAATAAACACACAGTACAGTAACACAACAATACTTACCGATGGCAATGCCTGCAGATACATTATGGATTGTTTGACCTGCTGGTACTTGTCAGGCACAAACATGCATCCCTCCTCATAAAGTCCGGTATTAGAGTCAAAAACGCACGGACGCGTGTTACAAGAACCTCCTTGACACTGGTCTGCCTTTTTTATATACACTCCAAAAATATCACGGGAACATCTAGTACAAGGAAAATATGGTAGGGCAAAAAAATTGATTATCTTTAACAATTAACAGTAGTAGTAATTGGCAATGCCATGGCTGTATTTGTTATAATGGCACCCAACCTTGGCTGATATCGGAAACTGCACCTTGCACACTGCACTAGCGGCTGGATTGAAACTATGCCCACTGTTTTGTACAGACTGCCTCTATAAGGCATGGTTGGAAACTCTCTTCTGGGGGGGGTTCAGACCCCCATAACTCCTCCTTATCTACGCCCCTGACTGGGATGATGCCTGCAGCTACATGCATCATCCAAGTATTGTTTTTTTCAGCTGGTGGTCGGCTTTCATGTACAGACTAAGCTGCTAATTAGCCACTGGATTGCTTTTACAAGTAGCGGAAAGGGACTCCCCCACCCCTCTCACCACCTTCCTAAGGATTTCTTGGGCAAACCCAAAAATGCAGATGGAAGTTCCACTGGCTGACAATAGAGTTGATTGGAGACTGGAATGCCTCCAATCATCACTATGGTGTAAGAGACTAGACGCTACCAGCATTCCATCATTTCCGTTTCGCCGGCTATTAACAGCATTATTTTGAAATTGGGAAAGCATCTGATCACACCGATCTTGGGCAGAGGAGATATCTAGAGTCTAATCAACCCCAAATTTCTCAGAACAGAGTACCTGTCACTGTGTATTGCTATAACAGGGGATATTTACATTCCATGTGATAACAAAAAAAGTGATTGGAAAACAAAATATGAAAGGGACAGTGTAAAAATTATTTTAAAAAAGTAAAATAAATAATTAAAAAAAATTCACTCCAACCCCCATCCCCATGCTTGCACGCAAAGGCAAATGCAAGCGGCAGTCCCGTGGCTGTATGTAAACATGCATGTGAGGTATCACCATGCACATCAGATCAAGGGCAGTAATTCTAACACTAGACCTCCTGTGTAAATCTAAAGTGGTGACCTGTAAAGGCTTTTAAAGCATCACCTATGGATATTAAAAATGTACGTAATTTATCACCATTGCACAGGCGTGAGCAATTTTAAAGCATGTCAAGTTTGATATCCATATACTTGGTGTAAAATCATCTTTTATGTTTTATCAAACAATTGAGCAATATATTGCGTTTTTGCGCATTAAACGTCTAAAAAGTGTATTTTTTTCCAAAAACATTTGCATTTGAAAAACTGCTGTCCAAATACTGTGTGACATTAAAAAATTCAACACCTACAGTTTTATTCTCCAGGGCCTCTGCTTTAAAAAAAAATATATAATGTTTGAGGGTTCAAAGTAATTTTCTAGCAAAAAAACTTTTACAAGTAAACAAAAAGTATCAGAAAAGGCTTATACACCGTGTTCCAAATTATTATGCAAATTATATTTTTCTCATTTACCTAAATAATTGATGTAAATAACAGTCAGCATAATTCTCATGTTATCAACTATTAAGAGTACAATTCAAATTTTATTGAGCAAATCTTCTAATGATAACAGTATTTTTGTTAAAAATAAAACACTTACAATGCACTGTTCCAAATTATTACGCACAGTAAGTTTCAAAACACTTTATAGGTTGTAAAGAACTGAAAATTGTCATTTGTTGTGTTTGCAGCATATTTACTGAAATCAAAAGCTATTTCAATCAAACTTTTAACAACATTTTAACAGGTCATGTTACATTTTAACATAGGACCCCTTCTTTGATAGCAGCTTCAAAAGTCATTGCATCCATTGAACTTGTGAGTTTTTGGACAGTTTCTTCTTGAATTTGTTTGTAAGATGTCAGAATAGCCTCCCAGAGCTGCTGTTTGGATGTAAACTGCCTCCCACCCTCATAGATCTTTTGCTTGAGGATGCTCCAAAGGTTCTCAATAGGATTGAGGTCAGGGGAGGATGGAAGCTACACCATGACTTTCTCTCCTTTTTTCCCCATAACAGACATTGATGCAGAGGTATTCTTTGCAGCACGAGATGGTGCATTGTCATGCATGAAGATGATTTTATTACGGAAAGCATAGTTCTTCCTTCTGTACCAGGGAAGAAAGTGGTCAGTCATAAACTCCACATACTTTGCAGAGGTCATCTTTACACCTTTGGAAATCCTATAGGGGCCGACCAGCTCTGTTCCCATGATTCCGGCCCAAAACATGACTCCACCACCGCCTTGCTGACGTCGCAGCCTTGTTGGAACAGGATGGCCGTCCACCAGCCATCCACTACTCTATCCATCTGGACCATCCAGGGTTGCACGGCACTCATCAGTGAAAAGGACTGTTTGAAAATCAGTCTTCGTGTATTTTTCTGCCCAATGCAGCCGTTTCTGCTTGTGAGCATTGGTTAGTGGTGGCTGAATAGAAGGTTTATGCACAGTTGCAAGACTCTGGAGGACTCTACACCTTGATGTCCGTGGGACTCCAGAGGCATCAGCAGCTTCAAATATCTGTTTTCTGCTATGTAATGGTATTTTAGCAGCTGCTCTCTTGATCCGATGCATGGATCTGGCAGAAATCTTCCTCAATGTGCCTTTATCTGCACGAACCCGTCTGTGCTCTGAATCAGCCACAAATCTCTTAATAGTGCAATGATCACGCTTAAGTTTTGGTGAAATATCTAATGTTTTCATACCTCGTCCAAGGCATTGAACTATTTCACTCTTTTCGGCAGCAGAGAGATCCTTTTTCTTCCCCATATTGCTTGAAAATGGTGCTCTGCTTAATAATGTGGAACACCCTCCTTTAGTAGTTTTTCTTTAAATTGGGCTCACCGGCCAATCTAATTATCACAGGTGTCCGAGATTGTTTTCAGTGATCAAAAGAGCCCTGACACACAATGCCATCCATGAGTTAAACTGAAAAACTAAATATTTAATCTTTGTGACACTTAAATGGAATTTGCATAATAATTTGGAACGCAGTGTAGTTAGTGGTTAGAAAAGTGGGTGATATCTGGCATAAGCTTCTAATATTGGTTCTGAAATTCCAGGATAGTAGAAGCACCCCCCAACCCCCACCCAAATGACCCCTTTTTAGAAAGTAGACACTCCAAAGTATTTGCTAAGCGGCATGGTGAGTATTTGCAGATTTAATTTGTTGCCACAAGTTTTTGGAAAATGAAGAAAGAAATTGAAAATGTATTTTTCAAAACCCTGTGGCAAAAATGACATCTGCAAAATACTCACCATGCTTATCAAATTACTTGGGGTGTCTACTTTCCTCAAAAAAGGGGCATTCAAAACTGTGATAGGTAGTGAGGAAATATGAAGAAATATACCCGTTGAAAGCCTGAAGGTGTTCATTGGATTTTGGGGGCCTGTATGTAGCTAAGCTGCCAAAAACTCTCTAACATGTGGTATCCCCATACTCGGGAGAAGTAGCAGAATGTGTTTTGGGGTGTTATTCCACATATACTCATGGTATGTGTGAGCAATATATCATTTAATTGACAACTTTGTGTAAAAGAAAAAATGTAATTTCCAAAAATTGTGGCAGAAAATAAAATGTTCCATGGACTCAACATACCTTTATTACTACCTTTGAGTTTACTGCATATTTTTTATAATCAGAAATTTTTTGTCTTTTTTCGTTTATGTCACATAGTGCAGTACACTGTACATTTAATTTACTCTGCGTACTGTCGTCAGGATGACATAGATGAGTCTTTGAATCACCGCACATGCTTATCAATTCACGGGGCCAAAACTTGTGGTGAATGTGGAGGCAGCAGCAATGGGAGGCCAAACTGCACCCTATGAACAAAAAATGGAAACACCAGCAGTGTGACTGGAAAGTGGCACATGGCAGGACCGTCGTCCGCGGGTAGTCGTAGTGGCAATATAAGCAAAGGCAGTAAATTGACAAACTGTGCATAAAGTGAAAGGCGGTAAATATTTCAGATTATACGCCTGGCTAGAAGCTATGAAGGATGTTCCCATGTTCGGGGGCCCAAGCATTTTACAAGCTGCAATGGGAGGCCGATACTTTGAGCACCCATTTTAAAAAATGTAACACAACCACATACTCTTTTTTATGAGCAATGGCAAGTGTGGCGGCAGCAGCACGGGGATGGGGCCTAACAGGGGCCCATAAACATTACGGGACCAACAAGGAGGCGTACAGTGGCCCAATGGCACATATCTCTGGAACTGTGCAGAAGCATAGTACTGGGGGGCGTGCCAGCCCAATAAAAAAGTGTTGCTCTTGGTAACGGATTCCAAGAAAGATGCTGACGGATTACAGTGAAGAGGAAGTAGCAGGAGAAGGACCTCAAGCGGAATATGCCAACAAGCGAAACAAACAGCGGAACAACAAAGATTAGGGGCCCATGGCAGCATTCGTACGAACGCGGGAACGTACGGGAGACGCGTACGGACGTACTCGACGGGTAAACGAAACGAAGTAGTACGTAACGGTTTAAAATTTTAACGGTTAAACTGTTGGACTCGTACCGGCGTAAACGTTATGCGTTGACGATACGAGAACACCGACGCGACGACGGATACGGGTACTGGCACGTAGCGTTACGGTACGACGGGATACGACGACCCTGACACGTGATTACGTATATGCATGGGCGCGTACGAACGACAACGCCTAACCAGGTCCATTGGTTACAGCATTTATCGATCCGAGGACATCTTATATTTTAATCAACGAGAGTTACGGTGGCGTGAGCATGAGGAGGGGGGGGGAGGCGGGGGGTGGGGAAAAGGGGGGGGTTTTGTCGTATTGGCTATTTCCAAGTGGGGGGGAGTTGGTGGCAGTCTGTGAAAGATTCAAGGCCAATCTATGCAGCCACAGCAGAAGCAGCATGAGGTAGTCGGTACGGGGTGCCCCCAACCCCCACAACATGAAGATTCAAACGGGCCTCGGCTGGATGCAAAATGGAGGCCATGCAGAGAAGCATGAGGTGCCGGAGAAAACACCTTTGGATTGGACAAAATGGAACTTTGAGCCTCTGCTGTGTGTGATGACCTTTGAGGCTTTGCTGCACACCTCTCCACCATTCTCGTCACATGTCACATCTAATGTGTGGTCCAAATCAGGGTGGGTGAGAATGGACGGGAGGCCAGCATTATTGCATAAGGTGGCAGCAAAGGCAGCAAAATCATGGGCCTCTTAGCACCCTGCACCTGTTACACACACGGAATCCGCAATTACCAGTCTATCAATACCTACACCTGAATCTCAAAAAGTTTGTGTGGAGTGAGATACAGGATTGGCACACTGTGCCTCCCCTCATAGTCCCCCATTTGATAGGGCCCCGTCAGTGCCCACTTTTTACCCCCATTGATAGGTGGAGAGGCCCTCTCTGATATGGGATAGTGCCCGATCTTAACCCTCTTCAGACCATTTCGCTCTCCACCTTTTAATCAGTAGAGCAGTAAGGGACCAGCCACAAAGACATATACCAAGATTGTCCTGGGCTCAATGATGGATAGGCCAATTACCCCTCTATACTTGGGGGGCCCTCAGTAGAATGGGGGCAGGGGATCTGACCATTTTGAAGCTCCACCGAATCACCAGTACACTTCCAGTCGACCTGCAATTTGATGCTATGCTGCCACACCGAGGACCATACTCCATCACAGCTCTTTTGTGTGGGGGAGGGAATGGGGTGGGCGAATGGCACAGCTCAGGCAGAAGGGGGGCTGCATATTGCACCTCGGGGATTTAGTCACGGGATGGCAGCAGGAGATGAAGGTGATGGAGCCTGATTGTCACCAATCACCCTGCAGTGTTCACATATGAAACTCGGTTGTCTGGACTAAATGGAGCCTCACTTGCCAAATCCAACTTTGTTCCCCGTTCTTAAGTTGCCCACGATACAGGGGATGTTCTGGCCACATGGGTGAGCACGGCTGCTCCATAAGTGATTCCACCTCATGTATGACTGCGCAGGTCCAGCTCTAGACCCCCATTGAGGTATTAGTGAATGGCGGTGTTAGCTCTGATCACCATGGGCCATCAGTCCAGATATGAGCATTTGCCATCTGGACCCCTAATTTTTAGCCTCCATGCCTGCTCCTATGTTCCTCCCTCTGACACTCCTGGCAAGGGATAGGACTGTCAGCCACAGAGAGCAGAAGTGTCTCCTCAAGAATACAATGTTGGTGGGCATTCCGGGCCCAAAAACAGGCCATTTTGTCTCCTTACTGACCCAGGTTTTTGGACCAGCTTTGTGGCTGATTTCGCAGAACTGTAAGTGCGGGAGTCCATCGTTCTCAATTGCACATGAATTTACTTGCCCATGTGTAAGATGACTCAGGAATAAAAGCTCCATGTGGCCTTCTATTGAGTGGGGGAGGGACCATGGGGGTTATATTTTAACGGCAGATCCAGGAAGTGATATCCAGGGGCATGAGTTCCTCATTAATTCATTCTATGTATTCTTTTTTACTGCCAATATTTAATGTGACACAATTGGTGGAGACCGGTCACAACACCAGCTTTGTGACCCATTATTGTCGGTAGTGCTTCTATGACACTTTATTGGACAGCTTTTGTAATGGGGGCACTATGAGCGGTGCCTCTGGGACTAATTTTTCTGCCCCTCTAAATGTTGCGCCCGGGGAACTGGGAAATCACAGAGAGCAGGCTGCTTTATAATGATTCACTCATGTCACTGACTGCAGGTCCAGCTCTGATTGAGGTTTGAATGGCGGTAGTATCTTCACTCAGGGCCATCAGTCCAATATAATGCATTTGTGTACTGGCCCATGGAATAAAAGCCTCCATGCCTGCTAGCCTAGTTCTCCCCTGACAGCAAGGATAGGACTGACAGCAAGCAGGCAGAAGTGTCAAACCTCAAAGAATACAATTTGTGATACATTTTGTCTCCTTCTGACCAATTTTGGACATTTGTGGCTAAATTCCGCAAGAGAACTGTAAGTGGATTGTTTTTTAAATGTTGAGAATTTAGGTGGGTGTTAAGATGAGTCAGTAGAAAAGTGGCCTGACATATAACGCAGAAAGCATGGTTCCTCCATAAATTCATTCTAGTATTCATTTTTACTGCAATATTTACATGACACAATTGGTGGAGACCGTACAAGAGAGTGACATTATTCAAGTGTACCTAAATCAGCATGATGCCTAAATATAGTGCTTATTAGAATGCTTAATTTATCATTTTCACAAATTAATGGCCAATTACAATTCATCAATAAGAGTGCTTACCTTGTTGCTTCAACTTTAAGGTCAGTTGAAACATAGAAAGGTTTCTCAAAGTTATATTCATCAAAGACCCCCCATCGAAGATGAGCCCATTCATGAACAAATACTCTTCCTGTGAAAATGAGAAATGTGTGAATACATACAGTATATTACTTTTACCTCAAAACCAGCAGTCAATTGGGAAGAGCGGCTATATTTTACATTTATTTTAAAAATTAATTGGAACAATAACTAAAAAAAGGTACATTTCAAGGCCTGTTTACACATTAAATGTATTTTATGGCCCAGCATTTACACCAGGGGTCTCCAAACTTTATAAACGAAGGGCCAGTTTACTGTCCTTCAGACTTTAGGGGGGCTGGACTGTGGCCAGTGGATGAAGAAAAATCCTGGCATCAGTGGGAGTAAACAATGCCTCATCATTGGTATTAATGGGAAATATAATGCCCCATCATTGTTATCAGTGGGAGGAATAGTTTCTCATTGTTGGTGTCAGTGGGAGGAATAGTGCCCCATCATTGGTGTGAGTGGAAGGAATAGTACCCCATCATTGGTGTCAGTGGGAGGAATAGTGCCCCATCATTGGTGTGAGTGGAAGGAATAGTACCCCATCATTGGTGTCAGTGGGAGGAATAGTACCCTATCATCTATCATTGGTGTCAGTGGGAGAAATAATGCCCAACTATTGTTGTCAGTGAAAGGAATAGGGCCCCATCATTTGTGTAAGTGGTAGGAATAATGCCCCATTATTGGTGTCAGCGAAAAGAATAGTGTCCCATCATTTGTGTCAGTGGGAGGAATAATGCCCCATTATTGGTGTCAGTGGAAGGAATAGTGCCCCATTGTTGGTGTCAGTGGCGGAAACTATGCCCTACTCTTGCTGATGGTGGAGGGAATAATGCACCAAGGGCAGAATAAAAGCAAGCAAAGGGCTGCATCCGACCCCGGGCTGCAGTTTGGAGACCACTGGTTTACACCAATCAGTGTTTACCTTATTATTACAGTAACATGAAGAAGCTTTTGCATTTAGGCTCCATGCACACTAGCATTTTTTTAAGCTAAAAAAAACGGTTCATAAAAAATGCTTGTAATAGTGGTTTTTAGCTCCTTTTAGCAGCATTTAGGAGCAATCAGCATTTTTTTTCTGTTGGCGAATTGCTCCCAAAAGCTCCTAGAAGCTGAAGCTTGAAAAATGCTTCTAGCCTACAAAAGTGTGCACGGACAGATAGGATAATAAAATTTGCTTCTAGGGGCAGAAAAAAATGCTCATAACTAGCTGGTAAGAGTTTAAACATAAGCTAGTGTGCATGGAGCCTTAAGATTAATTTTCTTTTTCTTTAATTTTGCATAGAGTAGGGGAAAATAAGGTTTACCACTGCTTGGGTCTCTGTAAGGTACTATCCAATTCCACTGGACAGGAAGGAGATTCTAGCCATCACCTTTTCTATTAACAAAAGCTTTTTTTATATTTTGCTGTGTTGGAGATTTTCCATGTCTGGAGAGAATGCTGTCACAGAGACAGTAAATGAGGAGACACACCTCAAACAAGTGCAAAAAAAAGCAGTGACATGGTATAAAGTGTAATAACCTTTAGCACCCATTGATATTTTGCTTAACTGTAGTAAGATCAGGGAAATTAGATTTCTAAGTAGCTGCGATCAGTTACCTAAGAAAGGGAAATGGCTCTTGCCATTATCAAATAGCTTTCAAAAATGTGATAGCATAGGGAATGGCAAAAGCCTAAAACTATATGAAGGGATCTGCTGCCCTCTACTATTTGCATTTATAAATGGTGTGTGCTGTGAGTTATTTCTGTACATCACTTCCTGTCTCTCTGGAGTAGGTTAAAAACCCCAAATGAGGAAGTGATGAGAGAGGAACGGAGCCATATGACCTTACACATACAGGAGCTGTTGCTGCTGTTGTATTTCACCCAGAGCAGGAGTTGAGACTATTAGGCAGGTATTTCTATTTTCTAATATTTAACTCCAGCTGTCCATAGCTTCTTGAGTCTGCATCTAAATCCTAAGACAGACTTATGTCTGTCCTATTGGTATTATCTCACATGTACAGTGCCAAATAGGTTCATCTGTGCCACTTTATCTATGTAGTGTTCACCTAATTGATGCAGTAAAGGCTTCTTTCTCAAACCTCGACCATGCAGCTCATTTTTGTTCAAGTGTCATCATATTGTGCTCCTTCAAAACAACCACACTAGCTATGGGTTTCCCTTTGTATCCCAAACAATTCTTCTGGCAGTTGTGGCTGCAATCTTTCTTGGTCTACCTGACCTTGGCTTGGTATCAAGAGATCCCCGAACTTTCCACTTCTTAATAAGTGATTTAATAGTACTGATTGGCATATTCAAGTCTTTGGACATCTTTTTATGTCCTTTTCAATCTTTATAAAGTTCCATTACCTTGTTGCCCAGGACTTTTGACAGCTCTTTTCTGATCCCCCATGGCTCAGTATCTAGCCTAGTCAGTGCTTCCACATAAGAGCTAACAAACTCATTGACTATTTATACACTGACACTAATTGCAATTTAAAAAGCCACAGATGTGGGACATTAACCTCTAATTGGCATTTTAAACCCGTATGTGTCACCTTGTATGTCTGTACCAAGGCCAGACATTCCAGGCCATTTGGGTGATTTCTGTTATCATTAAGATTTAAAAAAGGAGCCAAACAACTATTTGATAATAAATGGCTTCATATGATCATCATCCTTCAATAAAAGAGCATTTTTTTGGTATGATCAGTCATATTTTCAATTTCAATGCCAAAATTTCACAATTTCTGCCAGGGTATGTAAACTTTTGAGCACAACTGTAACAAGCATGCTTTACTGCATATACAGACTGATTTTACTGTTGTAGGTTTAATAACACTTTAAGGTCACTCCTCACAAGTCCCCAGGGCAGCTACCACCTTCCAGCTGCTACCAGATACGGTCCAGTGAGTGAGATGGCACCTTTCAAGACCAGATCCTTTGTGTGGTTCTGCAATTAGCTCTAAGCAGGATCCTTCCACGCCCACAGCTCTGGCACTTCTGAGGCCCCTAGAGCAGTTATATAGTCCATGGGCTGCCTGGGGGCATCAGCCCCTCTGTCTCCGGAACCCTCCGCCTGTGGAGAATTAACCTTCCCCTCCCTTGTCTCAGACTGTTCCAAACTCTACTGGACACTCCTCTCCAGGGATTTGCTAGAGCCCAATAAATATTCAGGCTGCTTTTTTTTAATCTCGCACACTAAGCACTAGAAATTGTTTTCAGAGGAGGGGGAAGCAATCAAACTCTCAACCTGAGGGACACTGAACAGACCAGAACAAACAATTACTGCTCCTTTGATTAAAGTGATTCTAAAGGCTCAAGGTTTTACACCTTTATGCATTCTATACATGAAGATTAAAAACCTACTGTGTGTAGCAGCCCTCCCAACACTTACCCGAGCCCCATCATGATTCAGCAATGTCCACTAGAGCCTCGGTTTTCCCGGGACTCTCACTCCTGATTGGCTGAAGCAGCAACAGGAGCCATTGGTGTCCACAGCTGTCAATCACAGCCAGCGAGCCAATCAGGAGAGGGAGGGAGCAGGGCCAAGGCATGACTCTTTGTGTGAATGAACACGCAGAGCTGCGGCTTGGGAGTACACCTGCTCGAATGCCCCCAAGCAAGCTGCATGTCGGGGCACATGACAGGAAGTAATGGCCAGGAGTGCCAGTGGGGGACCCAAGAGGAAGAGGAGGATCTGGCCTGCTCTGTGCAAAACCACTGCACAGAGCAGGTAAGTATGACATGTTTGTTATTACAAAATAAACAAGACAAGACTTTATTATCACTTTAAGGAAGGAGCCAAGAAATACAATTACCTAGTACCATATGCTAGGAGGGTGCTACATAATAATAATCTTTTCTTATATAAAGCATGCATTATTTCCATACTGGTGTGCATCTATATACTTATGGTTAATGTTATATGTTGGTTGCAGTAGTTCTTCTGCTCCCAATTATTTTGATTATGTAACTGGTTACCTTCCCAGGAAGGGAATCCCTTCTGTTCTCAGAGGCTCTGTCCCAGATGGAGGCTCAGCCAACTTTATTATTTATTATTATTATTTAAAGCTTGTGCTATTTCTATACTGGTGTGCATCTATATACGTATGGTTAATGTTATATGTTGGTTGCAGTAGTCCCTCTGCTCCCAATTCCTTTGGTTGGATTACTGGTTAATTTCCAAGGAAGGGAATCCCCTCTGTTGACAGAAGCCCTGTCCTGGGCAGAGGCACTGCCAACTTTATTATCAAACTCACTCGTCCACTTAACAAAGGTTCTGGTTCTCTTATTTGCCTACAGCTTTAGCACAATATCTTGTTTGGGGAGGGTCATTCATTATAAACCCCCCCTTCTCTCAAAAGAGAGGACTACATGTATTTACCTCGAGGTCCATATACTGAGAGCAGTTTATCATCCAGCAGAAAATTTGATGTAAAATGTATATATTTTCCTGGCTCTCCACAGCCTCCATATTGTAAAGTATATGGATCATCTCCATATTTCAGGTAAGGGTTGGCAATAATTACGTCTGCCTGAAGAAAAAAAATGTAGACAGTTTTACACCATTTATATTGTAATATGCATCGGGAAGATAGCATTGACATACATATTGTGACTAGAGCTTCAGACAAAGAAATATCCCTTAGTCCACATTTAGTCAAAAATGATTATATATAATTTATGTAACAGTATTACTACAAACCCCAAAGCCTATTAACTTAACAAAATGCCTTACATACTGAAAATCAGGTGAAAGCGGCACTGCTTGTGTCCTGCAAGGACCTTGCAGGTGGTGGAAGCAATCCCAAAGTTGAGCAAGGGAATCTGGTACCCAACAGACTTCTAAAGAAAGATACCAATAAGATGCCAGCAGAGCTATTTAAAAAGATTCTGTTACCAAGGTAAACAATCCAGAGTTAAGGATTTCACATTTACTTACAGAATTATTCCTTTCCAATTTTTGTCAGTTGAAATATGCCTTTGAACATGCCAAAGATTTGACTACTCCATCAAGAGTAAATTCCCTAGAACAGCCCTCTCCCACCTTACACTTCATAGCCCACTCCTTTTCTGGGAGTGTCAATTTACTTGTGCTGGCCAAGCTCCTCTTCACTTCTCCGATCATACGATCATAAAAGTTTATGTATGGAGGGAAATACTGTGTGAAATACTGGGTGTAAGTCTGCTGGGGAAGATGTTTGCACACAGGAGGCTCGTGTGGGTAAATAGCATGCATAATATGGTACAATTTTATGAAGGGATTGTTGATTAAATGAATGGCCTAGTGCAGAGTTGGCAAACACAATTTCTTTGCAGGTCATCTCAACATTATGGTTGCCCTCAAAGGGCCGGTTGTATCTGTAAGATTAGATGACCAAAGCACCCCACCCTCACTTACATCAGACGTAAAGAGCCACCAGACCATCAGAAGTCAAGTCCCTCCCTTACATCACAGTGCACCCCCCTTTTGCTCCTGCCAAGAAGAATCCAGGGAGTGGAGCTGGGAAGCAAAAAGTGCAGGGTCTGGAGGAGGACCAGAGGAGGACTGGATTCATCTGCCAGAGTCTGCTGAATGTTGACACCCTGAGAGGTGGAGATGAGGGGGTGCTGTGGCTGCACAGAGAGGCCCAGGTCTGTAGGAAGAGCTCTGTCCTCCTCTCTGCTGCCGAGTGCTGAGACTGGGGAGGGGGATTTGGCCATGGACAAGTCTCTCTGCAGCTTCACAGGGAAGTGTAGGATCTGGCGGAGAAGTTTTGTCCTCCTTTCAGCTGTCAACTGCTGAGACAAAGTAGGAGCAATGATGAGGGGGGTGCCGCAGCTGCAGGAGAGGTGCAAGGGCCACGTGATGTGGCCTAGTGAATCAGATTCAGCCCCTGTGGGCTCTGTGTTTGGCATATGCTTGACATATGTGGTCTAGTGACAGGATCTCTTTAAAAGAGTGAAGATTTGATACCATCTGCCAGAAAAAATGTACTTCTTTTACAGGGTGGTTCAGTTTTTAACATTTTTACTTTAGTGACAAAGTCACTTTAAGCTAGATGTAAATCCTAACTGAACGACATTCAGGTTTCTAAAGCTCTATGAATCATAATTGCCATGTTATTTTAATGAAATAACAATTTTCTTTCTTTCTATTCGTTAGTCAGGTTTCATTAAAGTGATACTGAAAGCATATGCCTGCGCATTGTGAATTGACATTTCTATCCAGTGACAACACAGGAGCACAACTTTGTGACAAGGACAGAGCGTGGTCACCCAAAAAGAGGAAGTATCTGAAAGAGGACTTTCATGGCAAGATCACCAGATATTTTTAAATGAAAGTTTCAGGTTTTCTTTTATTTGCAAGCCCATCTACAAAGCTCCCTACTATTAACATATCAAATGTAACCAACTCATTTTTGTTATCAATCACTATAATAACCCCCCAATTGTTTTAGCTAAATGGCAACTTGGCTAAAACCATGTATGTATGTTACCTACAAATGTCTTGACACTGGCTCCTCCTGTGGGTTGTTTATTTCACATTACAAAAAATGTATTTTAAACAGTAAAAGGATCAAAACCAAAAGCTACAAATTAAAAATATTGAAAATTACTTTTGTAATTGCATTAAAGAGGAACTCCAAAGATGACAAACATTTACCTTTCCAGTGTATCCTCCTTCCCCTTCCAAGGGTTATCTGCTCATTTTGCCTAGGGGATGAAAATTAAAGGATATGTTCACCTTTTTGTAACATGTTACACCCATATTCAGGGTATAACATGTTAGGATTGGACCGGACCCCACACCCCTCAGATCCCCATTGTGACAACTAGCGGGGAATCTTCTCCCCCCTTACTAGCTGTCACAATTTTTGAAGAATGCAGCCGGGTGGGCCGTGAATGTGAAATCTACAATTTCTGACAGCCTTTGCGGCTGTTGGCTTGTAGTTTTCAATGAAATACCACGGCGCTCCACAGTGCCATGGTAGGTAATTGGCTTGCTCATATGGGATGTACGGGTAAGCAGATGTACTGACAGGTCAGGGGGAGACCTGCATGGCGCTGGCGATCTCCTGATTGCTGCTGCAATGATTAAGAGGCTCCACAAACAAAAAATTATAAATGCACATTTTTTACCTGCAAACGTGCATTTATTGTTTTTTTTGTTAAAAGGTGAACTTATCCTTTAAAGTATAATTCTGGGATAACACTAACTATTCTTAAAACTGACCCCTACCCCCTCCTAACACCAATACTGGGAACAAGAGTCAGGCTCTGCATACACCATCAAGCAGCCCGCAGCCTCTCTCAGATCCTACCTGGTCCCCATGCTGTGTGTGTGTATCTTCTTCCATCCCCTCTTCCCCCCCTGAAAAAATGCCACTGCCCCCCCCAAAAGATGCGGCCCTAGGCAAATGCCTTGTGATAAATATGCCTGTCAGAGCCTGGGTCCAAACCTGGGCCTTCTGCGGGGAGTGGCAATGTTTCTTCTTGCTGAGCCACCTTGAATGCTGGACAGATTCCTTGACAATTATTTCGATGATCCTACCTTGACCTTATTTATCATGAACTTTGAACCCCTTGCTCCTCCCATGAACTTCCTGATATAAGCCATGTCTCTGCACTTCCTGTTTGCCAGATTATTGTACTCTCCAGCCAGTATTGTGCTCCTTATCTCTGTTATTATCCATATTTTGCTATCACTCGTTATTGACCCTTGGCTTGTTCTTGCCTACGCTTCTGCCTGATCCCAACGACTGCTCCATATTGACCTTGGCTTGTTTACTGACCATGCTTCCGTTTGATCCTTACCTGCTTATACGCTACTGGACCTCCGCTTGCTCACCTCCTGGTGGGGTGATCCTGAGGACCACGACCTGGTACTAACACGCAGCAAAGTCCACCTCCACCATCAGGAGCTCTGGTGAACACTGGTTAGTACTTAGACTCTGCACCTCAGGTGATCCCCCTCCTCCACCATGGTGACCTGCCTGTGAACCTATCCTGCTGGTATCAGGAGAGCCTTTCCACTGCTATAGCAACTGGTCTTTGAACCTGACCCCTGATCGTTACAACGCCCCAGGTGTGGACTGTCATATAGGATGATGTTATTGTACTTTAGCAAGTTAAATTTAGTCTTTGGGTTTACTTGTTCTTTAATCATAAAGCATTATTACTAAGCACTTTTATTTTGACTTCAGAGGATCCACTTGCAGATTGCATTCTTTATTGAATTATTATTGATAAGGTTGTTTGTTGTAGGTTAATAAGGTTGTAGCTGATCCCTTTACCATGCTAAACAAAATATAAAAGACATATTAACATTAGCATGCAGTTTGTCAATACAATCTTACCATGGCCACCCTGAAAGTGGTGACTAGATTTCATTGGCAATGTGTACCCAGCACACACCTTTGTTTTTCCTTCAACACATTCCTTTTGGGTAATTTCAAATATTTCTTGGGTGTGCTTGTTTAACGAGTTGTTTCTAAGGACTGGCATTGTTTAACATATAACTGGACTTTGTTTATGTTGTGGACTGTTATTCTCCAATATATCCTCTGCTCAATAAAAAGCTTTATTTGAACAGGTACTGTATTATAAAGAAGAAGTTAATATGTACAAACCAGATGGAATTTTAGGGCACCCACTTACAATTATATAAAATAAAGTTACTTTATTTATATACCCATTAAAAAGGGTATACACCATCCAACAGAGCAACACCCCACTATCACCACCGAGAGGCCCTTTGCTTACTGCAGGACGATTTTTAATACACTTTATTATCCTTGTCTGCCCTGTAAACTCTCATTCTGCAATAGTCAGGTAGTTTTTAGTACTGTCAATGGTGGCAGAGTTTGCTCCCTGCACACTTCTGCATCCATCTACACCATTGTATTGGTTTCCACTGATGTAATACTCATATATACTCAATAATTCATATATCAATAATTCCCATGTAATAGTGGTGGTGTCTAATATTCCAGCATCTTGATATTTTTTCTTCTATATCCTGTACATCTCATCCGATCTCCTGAAGAAGCGGAAATTGATTCCAGGATACACGTTGAGATTGGCTAATCACACTTAGGGCCAGCCTTAGACCTTGGGGGGCCTGGGGCTTATACACAGAGTTGGTTTAAATTCTCAATGACAGTCACACATTTTGAAAATACATGACACCATGTTATTCTGAGGTCATACGTGCACACACACACACACAGACAGTCATAGGCCACCTTCCTTAAGAGCACAGTCACTCTATGTGTGGTTTACTTGAGCTGCCAAAATTAATTTTCAACAATGATACAATATACCAGGCCAAAGTAAACCTTTTTACAGATGATGGCAGGCAAAATATTACTTCCCAAGTTACAATTAGTAAAAGAATGTAATTGTTCTATTACATATTTTATCATTTATGTTTTATTTATTCTATATATTTTTTTATACTATTTTATATTATTTTTATATAGATGAGGGTCCCTTCTGTCAGGGGGCCCAGGGCAGTTGTCCCTTTTGCCCTCTTTTAAAACCTGCACTGGTC